TCACTGATGCATTTGGAAAACATGCTATTATTTTTGTCATTTTCAATAAAAAATATTAACATAGAGTTCATCCTATGACAAGTAACTTTTAAACATGCTACACATCATACTAATTTTTCAGTGTTCACAATGTGTATTTAATGTGTGCAAAACATAAATGCCATCGAAGTTGAGGATTACAGAGATGCCCAAATTCGTACCAGCAACGGAGCAGTACTCAAACCTAGATCCTTGATTCTAAATTTAGAATTCACTACTCTAAGCTGCCCAAATAATGATATATTTAATTGGCTCTAATCTGCAGTGTCTTAATTCTTAAATACTTATAATTGGCCTTTTCTTCCGTTGTTTTCATTCCTGAGGACCAGACTGCACAAGATAATTTCATTTGTAGCATTAGTGGACGTTCATGGCCTTTGCCCTCAGATGACAAGAATGTAGCATTCATTATTTCTCATATGCAGTATCTCATTTATAGTTCAATAGTTTTTTTTTTTCTACTGTTGAGCTTCTCTTCAGTGGTAAACAGTTTACCCAATATACCCATTTAACTCCAATAAGGGTATCAGGATAATGTGAAACACAGCAGTTCTAGAACAGTATGTTCTGCTGAAGCACAGAACCGCAAATGTGAGCTGACATAATGATGAATATTTATGCTACACAAAGACCCTGATTTTCAGAGTGGGGCAACATCTAGAGCAGCTAACGGGGTCAGGATGCTCTTAGTCACCTGTGTGCTATAGAAGGACCTTCACGCTTAGGAAAACTGAGCAAAAGTAAGAAGCGCTAATTTAAAATTCATCTTCAAATATTGTGCATATGGAAATAATGAAGTATTTTTATTTATTTATTTTATTTATTTATTTGAGAGAGAGAAAGATAGCGAGAGAGGGTACGAAAAAGGGAAAGGGAAAAGCAGGCACATTCCCCACTGAGCCGGGAGCTGGGACATAAGGCTTGCTCCCAGGACCCTGGGATCAGGACCTGAGCTGAAGGCAGACACTGAACTGACTGAGCCACCCAGAAGCCCCAATAATGAAATATTTTTAAACAACACATTTTCTTTTCCTTTTTTAAAAAGATTGATTGATTGATTTAAGACAGAGAGAGAGAGAGAGAGAGAGAGAATGCAAGCAGGGGGAAGAGCAGAGGGAGAGGGAGAGAGAGAGAATCCTCAAGCAGACTCCCCGAGGAGCACGGAGCCTGAGGCAGGGTTTGATCCCAGAACCCTGAGATCATGACCTGAGCCGAAAGCAAGAGTCGGTGGCTTAACCGACTGAGCTACCCACACGCCCCTAAACAACACATTTTGGATTCACGAAACTGGATACATAGGAATGTATTATTTTAGAAGCATTTACAGATATAGTCCCATTAAGTCATTAAGTCAATTTACAAAAAGAGTAACAAATGGCATTTTTGTTGGTTTATTATCTTCTCCAGTTTTTTACAATGTGATTTTCTTGGCTTAGGAAAAAAAACAAAACAAAACATGGTGACTTACTCTCCTAAATATGGCAAAAATAGATAGAGGACATAAAAACTAATCCACACATTAATGTACTTTATGCTTTCCCCAGAAGTGTTTGTATACATCATGTCATTTGAAGTTCACGATCACTTGTGAAATATTGAGAAGAGTGCCTGGCACAGAGCTAACGGTTAATAATGCCATTTGTTATAATTTTCCTGCAGCGCCTCAAGTTCAGTAGATCTGAACTATACTCCTCATTCCTGCACTTCCCCAATCTCTTCCTGCCTTTTTTCACCTGACCTGGTGAATGGCAACACCTCGACACTCTCACATGTGACTTGGGAGACATCAGTGGCTGTGTCTTACCTTTCAACGTAACCACCATCCTCTGCTCTAAATTCTCGATGGCAGTGCATTGGCTCGGGTGCTCATGATGTTTTGCCAAAACTGTGGCAATTACCTTTCTCTTAATCTAAAAGAATCCCCATCCCTGACCCCTTACAATTCAGTTGCTATGCCGCTGCGGGAAGCGATCCAGTCATGTTGGCTGCCTACATAAACTCAAATACTCCCCTGATTTTAGTACAAGACTCAAAAACTGTCTCAGCCCCAAGCTCTTCCTTGTCACTCCTTACCAGCCCAACCTCATCCTTCTGCTATTCACTCCCTCCACACTAAGTTGCGTGTGGTTCTCAAGAGTACCCGATGTTCTATCAAGCTTTCCCTCCTTTGCACAGTCTACTTCATGTGAAAAGAACACTCCTTCTTCCTTCTTGACCTGGAAAAGCTTTTCTGATTTGTCAAGGCTTGCGCCAAGATTCTCGGTAACGATTACTCTGACGACCTCAGGGGTGCAGCTACTCTTCAGAGGGCTGTGCCCATGTTGACTGGTTTGTTTCCACCATGGCCTTCATCCACTTTCACCATGATTCATTTGTTAAACATTTATTAAATGCTGAATTTCAAAGTTAAAAGACACAACCCATGCTCCTAATGTGCCTACTGGTCAATGTGGGAGAAAATGGAACAATTACCGTAATAACTGTTATATCAAAAAGGTGGCTCTGGGGCGCCTGGGTGGCTCAGTTGGTTGGGCGACTGCCTTCAGCTCAGGTCATGATCCTGGAGTCCCTGGATCGAGTCCCACATCGGGCTCCCTGCTCAGCAGGGAGTCTGCTTCTTCCTCTGACTCTCCCCCCTCTCATGTGCACTCTCTCTCATTCTCTCTGTCTCAAATAAATAAATAAAATCTTTAAAAAAAAAAAAAAGGTGGCTCTTAAAATGCTGAGTTGGTGCTGTTTCCCTGCCCTCCATTACCCACCCTCCCCATGCCTCATTTACCCCAAGGCTCCATTTCAAAAACTTACAAGGTCAGCAAAATGTTTTGATACCTTTTATAAAGTCACCCCCACTTTGAACAGGATAAGCCAGGTTCTGTATAAAGGAAGTTAAGTCAGTGGATGTTTGCCTTCTCCAGCTTGCTCTGCTCTGAACTTGGGAGGCATCCTGACTGCTTGTCTGAGTTTGAGTTTTCAGGCACACCTATACATCGCGATTTCTGCTCTAGGCCTAAACTCGTGACTGGAACTTCTTTTTTTCCCTTTCTCTCTTCTTCCCTCCCTTTCCTCCTGCCCTGTCTCCATCTGTCAGTAAATAGCGAGTACATACTATGTACTGTACACTCTATTTGTTGCTATCACAAAGTGGCGAATGAGACAGATATGGTTCTGGTTTCCATGGAGCTCTAAGGATCTACCAATGGACACGTAGGAAATAAGAATTAGTTGCTTATTTATATATTTAAATTATTTAATTCTGATGCTGATTAAAAAATAGAGAAGAAATGATTTTTGCTAATGACGTTCTTAGGAATTTAAAGCGTGTTGGATGAGAGGCTGTCTGCAGTCTATTCTCTAAGAGTGCCTCTGCCCCCAGGTGCAGCCTGGTAAAGGGAAATCCCTTTACTTCCCCTCAAACACTACTCAATTTGTAGTGTTAGGGGAAAAAGGCAATCTGATTAGACTAAACAATATTCAGGTATTGAAGTCCTACCGATGTACCCCCAGCATACACACCGGTGAGTAAATGCAAAAGTGGCTTCAAGGATCTTCACTTTTCATATATTAGTGCTCTATTTAAATTGCAGAGAGGTGATTTGATAGGAATTCCTGATGTGTTCTCTCAGTTGCAAATAGACACCATCAGCTTTCTAAAGAGGAGCACACCTTAAGTCCAGTGCTGTGGCTCTGTGGCCACATCTTAGTTGGTATAGTTTAATGTAGTTAAGCATACTTTTAATCTGCATATGAGCATCATGTAAATTGTTTGCTAGTTTCTTGAGAGGGCAAAAAATAAAAAGGGTTAGGAGGATAAGCTCTGGTATCACCTGGCACTGTCAATTGCTGGATTTAGAATCTTGGACAAATAATTTAACACTCTGTGTTACAATCTCTTCACGTGTACAATGAGATAAAACGAATAGTATAGGTTTGTTGTAAGGATTCAATATGTAGATATACACAAAGCCCTTGGCATAGTACCTGGTAGATAGAAGATGTTCAATAAACACCAGGTAAACATTCTTATAGACTAATTTTAATTCTAAAGGTGAGAAAGTAAATCATTTAATTATGCCTCAAGAAGGAGAGACAGCATAACAAATTTGATGTTAGTATCTAAATGAGCTTTGAACACAGTGTAGTAGACAGAATAATGCAAGCCCCACTACCCCGAAGATATCCAGGTCACAGTTCCCAGAATTGCTAATATTTTTATCTTACACAGCAAAGGGAACTTTGCAGATATGATTAAGAATCTTGAGATGGGGGGGCTCCTGGGTGGCTCAGTCGGTTAAGCATCTGCCTTTGGCCCAGGTCATGATCCCAGGGTGCTGGGATTGAGCCCCGCATCGGGCTCCCTTCTTAGCAGGAAGCCTGCTTCTTCCTCACATTCTCCCTCTGTGCTCTCTCTCTTGCTCTCAAATAAATAAATAAAATCTTAAAAAAAAATCTTGACATGGGAAAATTGTATGGATTATACAGCTGGGCCCAGTGTAATCTTAAGGGTCCTTACAAGAGGGAGCCAGAAGGGTTAGAGTGAAGAGAAGGGCAATGTGATGAGGGAAGAAGCAGAGGTTGGAGAGATGTGATTGCTGGAAGGAGGCCACGAACCAAGGAATGCAGACAGCCTCTAGAAGCTGGAAAAGACCTGGAAAGGGGATTCTTTCCTAGCGACTTCAGAAGGAACCAGCCCTGCTGACATCTTGACTTTAGGCCAGTGTGAATGATTTTGGACTTCTGACATCTGGAACTATAAGATAATAAATTTGTTTTATACCACTTAATTTGTGGTAATTTGTTATAGCAGCGATAGGTAACTATACACACAGATTGGCCTGATTTACTTTTTTTTTCTTTTTCAGGCAAAGCAAATTTCTAAAATTAAAAATGGAAAAATATAATTCAACATATAAGTATGTGTTGCATATACTTTTCAAAAAACAGTTAATGTGGTTAGTGGGCGCGGCTGGCGGGCCCGGGGGTGCCGGCGGTGGCGGGGGTCAGCGAGCGTTCGCCTGAGCCCCGTGAGTTCCGGCACCCTGACCCACGCTTGATCAGGTCACTCTGCTGAGTGAGCATCAGAAGAGCTGTCTTTCGGCCTGTGCGGCGAGAAACGGCGTGGCCTCAATTTCCTAAGAGTCTCTGTAGAAGCTGAAATCCATCAAACACCATTCTTCAAAATGCAATGGAATGTACCAAGGTCTGTATTCCGACTGGCACATAGGACATGCATGGAACCACATAAAGCCAATCTTTTTGGACACTGTCAAAACCTAAAGGGACCATTACTTTTGTATAAAGCTGAATCCAGAGTAGTTTTGGTACAGGGCCCTCAAAAACAATGGCTACATTTATCTGCTGTCCAGTGTGTTGCAAAGGAAAGGAAGCCATTCACTGCTCATCCACCCCAACCAGGGGTCCTTCACCATAAACAGTGGGAGCAAGATATTTTATCCAAGAGGATTATGTCATCCAATGCCACATCCCCTGGAACTCCTTCGGAAAAAAAGGAAGAACCTGATCCTTTACAAGACAAATCTATTAGTCTTTATCAACGATTTAAGAAAACATTTAGACAATATGGAAAAGTTTTGATTCCAGTGCATCTAATAACTTCTGGTGTTTGGTTTGGAACATTTTATTATGCAGCCATAAAAGGTGTGAATGTCATTCCTTTTCTAGAACTCATTGGGTTACCAGACAGCATAGTAAACATTCTGAAAAATTCCCAGAGTGGAAATGCACTAACAGCATATGCCTTGTTTAAGATTGCAACACCTGCCCGATATACTGTGACTTTGGGAGGAACCTCCTTCACTGTGAAGTACTTGCGTAGTCGGGGCTACATGTCGACACCGCCTCCTGTTAAGGAATATCTACAAGACAGGATGGAAGAGACCAAGGAGCTTCTCACAGAGAAAATGGAAGAAACAAAGGATAGACTCACTGAAAAATTACAAGAAACCAAAGAAAAAGTTTCTTTTAAGAAAAAAGTGGAATAGGGTGCCTTCTATAACAGGTGATAGACAATTTCTGCACTTTAACCCTTTAGAAACTATGGACAAAGATACATGATCCTGGTGATTTTTTTTGGTTAGTTGCCTAAATATACCAGTTCTCTGAGGGTTAAAGACCTAAGATACCTTTTTAAAGTTAAATATCACTAGAAAAATCAGTGTTTTTTGAAAAGAAAAAAATGAACCCAGTATAAGAATTTAACATCAATAGCAGCATTAAGCAGTGGTTAGTGTCGCATAAGTCAGAGCTCTTTTTTCGGGGTCTTCAGAATCATACTTGCTTTATGTTTTGTTGCAGCTATAATTTATGCAGATGAAGCAGTTGACTCCTTGGATAACTGATGTGGCCCTAGACAGGGTGTTAACACTGGGTTTTCATCTTTATGTTATTCATTGAGCTTTTAACTATATTCATCTCTTAATGTGGAAACCAATATTATCATCAAAACTGCCAGTGAATAAGAGGATACTTAGTGTTTCTGTAAAAACAGTATATAACAGTTATATACCAGTTAAAATACACATTTTATATGAAGGAACGCGAATAAAAACGGAGTCCTGTGTATGTAAGTAAGATGTATTGGTTACATGTAAATGAAAAATTGACCCTTTAAAAATGATTTTTACCTGAAGCTTGTCAGTTTTTTTAAAGCAAATATATATGGCTATGGTACTTTTTCACCTAATACATAAATCTCTACTTTGAATCATTTGTGTTCTCTTCAACTATATTTCAGAGGAAAAGTGAAAATAATATGATACCTTAAGTTTATTGTTGAAATCAAATATTCTTAAGCCATGACTCAGGTTTGTGGTTCTTGAGCAGATACAGGTGTGGGAGGATGGAAAGTGCCATCAGGTTGTTCCAGAGCTGGCCGCCCCTCCCCCACCCCGCCACGTGGCAGGTTTGTCTCCACAGGCCAACACTCTCAGTGTCTGTTTCAGAGTTAATGTTGATTTCTTTGTGCAGTAAATTTTTAAATTGTAGCTGCTTTTTTCCTTGGACTGAAATAGAGCTTTTCCCTTATATTGAAATATGCTTGAGCCTTTGACTTGAAATTTTTTTTAATAGCAAAGCTATCATTAAATTATCTGCTTGGAATGAAAAAAAAAACAGTTAATGTTGGTATTCATCACATCAGCAATTTAGAAATTTTTCTGCCTTAACTCTGAGGTTAGACCTAGACAAATATATTATACCCTCTTCCTCGTTTATCTTTCAACTCAGCATTATTATAGCTGGCAAGGACTAGAAATTGTTAAGGATTACAAATTTTAAATTGGACATTTTGGAATGGAAGGATGGTTCAGTAAAATATATATATATTACATTGTGCTAATATTATTGAGTGTAATTTTTCCTAAACACGTCTTTTAAAGAAAATGCTAAAACTTCTCTCTGCTTTTAAAGTCCTGTTTTTTTAAATTTGATTGTGCCTCTCTCTACTGATTTAATACTTATTATATTCAAGGTACAGTGCTTTCAAAAATAATTTCTGGGAATGATTATTTGTATTGTAAAATAAATCAATACAGGGTTTCTTGAAACAGAAACCTTCCCTAGCACATTTCTAAATGTTTTGATTTTATAAATGTGTGATTTATATACACAGCTTTTCTCAAGCACAGTTGTTGCACAAAGCGAGGAGCATCTGTGTGTATATAGTGTCTGTAACTGGGCATGTTTCCATACATCAACCATGGTGCATGCATTTAAAAACATGCCATTTTAAAAAGTAGAGCAATTCCTTGGGTTTACTTTGTTTCAGAAGGCTAAAACTGCCGTGTTGAGGTATCAAATGCTTACTCATAATTACTTCTGTCTCATGCACATTGCTCAATACGCATGTTTCCAGACCCTAAGAAAAAAAAAGAACGAAAAGAAAAAGAAGAAAGAGAAGCTTTCATCTATTAGTAAAATGAGTTTTGCTTTATTTAATTGTCTAAAAGAAAATAAAATAGGCAATCCTCTTTAAAAGATGCTGCATAGGGCGCCTGGGTGGCTCAGTCGGTTAAGCATCTGCCTTCAGCTCAGGTCATGATCCCAGGGTCCTGGGATCAATGCATCAGGCTCCCTGCTCAGTGGGGAGTCTGCTTCTCCTCTGCTCCTCCCACCCACTCATGCTCTCTCTTTCTCTCTCAAAAATAAATAAATAAAATCTTAAGAAAAAGAAAATGATGCTACATAATGCCCTCAACATATTACGATATAATAACAAAAATCTAAAGGTGAACCTGGTTTTTAAAAATGTGTCTTAGAGCTTTCAGAGTCCAATCAGAATGAAATGTGTTGATTTTTAAGAAATGTGTCTGTGTGTTTTTGTAAATTTTTCATCTTCCTCTAGTTCTGTAATATTTTGCCTACATATCTTCCTCTAGTTCTGTAATATTTTGCCTACATAGGGCGTACTTGGCCTACAGTAAGTAATAACCACAGACCAACTGCACAACTGCCGCAGGTTTCCAACAGCAGGGACTTGTCAGTGCTGGATGGAGATTGCCTGGCACATGCCAGCTCAAACATGGACATTTCCTCTTTCTGTTTGCCTGCTCCCAAAGGCCAGCCAATCCAGGGTGCAAATCCTCACACCTGGCACATGTAATTGAGAATCTCAATACAAATGATTATGCTTTCAAATTCCAGTGCCTCTGCAGGTGATAGAAAGTAAGCTGCCTTCTCTCCAGCAGACCACTACAGTCAATATGTTCACACGTGCTTCTCTTGTAGAAAGAAAAGTATTTATCAATGCAGGGCAGTGTTTCAAAAAGCTGGGAGGCAGCTACTCTTAAAAGCAGTGCTTATTAAGTTTTAAACCACAGTCGGAGAGTAAAGAGGACTCCAGGGATGGCTTCCCTGTGGATTCCAGATATGCCACATCTCATAAAGTCACACATTCTTCCACTTTCAACTTCTCTCTCATATCTGACCTTCTGTCCCTAAATCTTTAAAGCTTTCTGATAGGAAGACTTCATACCAGCTTCAAGGGGAAAATCTGCAAGTCATGGGTAGCTGTTTTCTTTTGATATATTTAACAATACTTATTAATATTACAGTTAGCGTTTGTGAGATGGGCAAAGAAGATTCAAGTGTGCATTAGTTTTCTGTTGCTGCATAATAAATTATCACAGACTTCGTGGCTTAATATAGCATTCATTTATTATCTCACAGCTTGTAGATTGGAAGTCCTGTGCAATGGGACTGAATTCTCTGGTTAGGGCATCGCAAAGCTAAATTCAGTGTGTCAGTTGGGCCGAGTACTCATCTGAAAGCTCGAGGAAAAAAATTCTCTTCCGAGCTCATTTGGGGTTGTGGGCAAGATCTAGTTCCGCGTTGGCGCATGACTGAGGTTCCCATTTTCTTTCTGGGTATTGGTTGGAGATCACTTTCAGCAACTAGAGGACATGTTCAAATCCTTTTCACATGGCCACATCCATCTTTAAGTCAGGAATGGCATGTCAAATCTTTCTTAGACTTCAGATCTCTGGACCTCCCCTTCTGCTACCAGCTGAAGGAAAAAAGTTCTCTACTTAAAAGGCTTCATGTGATTAAGTTAGGCCCATCTGGATACTCTTCCTACCTTAAAATCAATTTATTAGTAACCTTAATTACATGTGCAAAAACCCTGCTGCCAGGTAACGTTACATGATCATAGGAATAAGCCCAGGGGGTGGAAATCATGAGAGCCATCTTAGAATTCTGCCTATTACACTGGGTGTTCTATTTAAATCACCCTTCCTGGTTATCACCACCTTTTATTGTTTTCAAATTATTTTATAATTCTATAAGTTTTAGAACACTAATAACAATGCAAGTGATACTTATCCATAAAAATACAAATGAAATGTGTCTGCTACGATGCAGCTGATTGTTGCCCCATTTTTGTGTCTGTAAATTCGTTTTATCATTCCCTTTGCAAATATATGTATGGTTCTTTAAACTTTCCTTTGAATTAGTTCTAACGTCTTTCTGGTTCCCTCATTAAATATTTTAAATAAAATATTTGACTTGTGTTCATTTTATATCTGTATGTGTATGATTTTACTTAGAAAAATTGATCCTTTAACAATATTTGTTATAAGTTAGTTACTCTAGTGGTTCATCATTACACAGAAACAAACTTAGATAAGGTCACAAGAAGGTTGGTCTTTAAATAATTGAAAAGTCTCCTAGGAAGGAAGGAGTATAGTTGAGTGGAAAAGGCATTATTATTTCAAGTGCAGTTTTAGGCTAATACCTTATAGAAGATAGGGAAAGATTTGTCACAGTTTCAGCAACTTTATATGTACTTTTTTTGTAAGGGGATAATATTGAGTACGTATATTTAGCAAAAGTAACACAAGAAGGATTGCCGTGAGCTTTCCCTAAATGAAGGAAAACCATGAGTAGGTGGCCTTACTGACTGACAGTCTAGAGACATAGAAATGTTGATCTTAACAAGTCCACATTCCTTAGAACATGCATGGGATCATTCATGAAGCTGTCCCTTTGTTACACTCCATCTTATAATTTACAACTATAAGGATCAGTGGCCAATATTCAATCATTATAGCAAAATTTGTAATTGCATTTGATTTGATAATTATTACATAAACACTGCTATTTGCCATCAGCTTTATCATTAAGCATAGATCTTTCTTGACTTACAATGACGTTATGTCCCCATAAGCCCATCATAAGTTAAAAATATCATTAAATCAAAAATGCATTTAATATTCCTAACCTACTGAACATCATTACTTAGCCTAGCCAACCTGATATGTGCTCAGAACACTTCATCATTGTGAAGAAAGTCCCCCACAAGTTAATAATGCAAATTTATTTTTATCCACTTCAGCATGATGGAATGCTTTATCCTACTGTTGAGCAAAAATCATCTAAGACAAAGCCTATTTTATCATAAAGTGTTGAATATCTTATGTAATTTATTGAATACTGTACTGAATGTGAAAAACAAAGTTCTTGTATGGGTACACAATGGGGGTATCAGTTACCTACCCTTGTGATTATATGGCTGACTGAAAGCTGCAGTTTGCTGCCACGGCCCAGCATCAATAGAGTATTGGACTGCATATTTATCACTAGCCCAGGAAAAGATCAAATTCCAAATTCAGGTACAGTTTTTACTGAATGCAGATCACTTTCGCACCATCATAAAGTAGAAAAATTGTAAGTTGCAGTTTTGTGGTTTTTTTAGAGTTCTTTTCTTTTTAAAAAAATTTATTTATTAGAGAGACAGAGTGAGAGAGAGAGAGAGAGCACAAGCTGGAGGAGGGGCAGAGGGAGAGGGGGAAGCAGGCTCCCCGCTGAGCAGAGAGCCCGATGCGGGGCTCAGTCCAGGAACCCTGGGATCATGACCTGAGCCAAAGGCAGACACTTAACCTACTGAACCACCCAGGTGCCCCATAAGTTTCAGTTTTGTAAGTTGGGGACTGTCTGTAGTATCTAATTCAGAGTACCTTGGAATAAATCAGGTAACAGTATGATTTATACTTTGTACTTTATAAAGCAAATATATCTCATCTTAACAGGATTTTTCCACAACCTAAGTGTCCATCCATGGAGGAATGGATAGAGAAAACGAGTGTGCACAAACACACACACACACACACACACACAATTATTATTGTGTGTTATTATTCAGCCATAAAAAATAAGTAAATCTTGCCATTTGCCACAACCTGGATGGACCTTGAGGGCACTATGCTAAATGAAAAAAGTCAGACAAAGAAGGACAAATACCAAATGTTCTCACTTATCTGCAGAATCTGAAAACAAACAAACTCATAAATACAGAGAACAGATTGGTGGTTGCCAGAGGCAGGGTGGGAGTGGGCAAAATGGGTGAACATGGTCAAAAGGTACAAAATTCCTAAGTCATAAGGATGTAGGATACAATGTACAGCATGGCAACTAAAGCTAATAATACTGTACTGTACATTTGACAGTTGCTAAAAGAGTATATCTGAAATGTTCTCAGCGCAAGAAAAATAAATTGTAATGATGTGTGGTAATGGATGCCAACTAGACTTATGCAATGAT